TTCACACCCACTAGAATGACTACAATAAAAAAGACAATAACAAGTGTTGTAAAGGATTCAGGGTAATTGGAACTCTTATAGATTGCTGGTAGAACGTAAAATGGTACAGCTGCTATGGAAAACAGTTTAGCAGTTCCTCAAAAAGTTAAACATAACAATTACCATATGACCCAGTACTACTACTCCTAGATACACCCAAGAAAATTGAAAACATATGGCCATGCAAAAAGTGGTACATGAAATGTTCATAGTTCTGCATAGCAGCACTACTCACAATAGCCAAAGAGTGATACAACCTGAAAGTCCACCTATGAATGAACGGCAAACAAAATGTGGTATATCCACACTATGGGATATTACTCAGGTCATGAAGAGTAATGAAGTACTGATACAGCTACCTCATGGATGTACCTCCAAAACACCATGCTAAGTGAAAGATGCCAGATACAAAAGGTCATATACTATATGATTCCAACGATAGAAAATGTCCAGAATAGACAAATCCACGGAGACAGGCAGTAAATTAAGTAAATTAGAGGTTTCCTAGGGTTGAGGAGAACGAGGGATAGATAGGTAGTGACTGCTAATGGGTATAGTTGTTCTTTTTGGGGTAAAAAAAATGTTCTAGAATTAGATAGTGGTAAAGTGTGAGTTCACAGCCACCATCTCCGGCCCCAATATGCTGTACCTTGCCTGAAGACTTCCAATTGTTTTCTTCGTTGTTCCCTGTGGAAAGCCATTGGCAGTAACATCCAAAGGCTGCTCAGGAACTGCACTCCAGCTGATGGCTATGAAAAGGTAAGAGTCTAGGGTTAAAACTGTTCAATTTCCTGTGAATGTCAGAAGTATTTTAATAAAAATATTTCTCTGACTCTACAGACCCATGAGAGCTGGATATGATGTCACCGGCAACGACTGCTACTTGGATGCTTGGCCTCCAGGGTATAGTAGACTAAGTGGTTCATAATTCATTATTATTATGATAGTTAACAATCACTGAAGATTTATTTGCTGGGCACAGAGTAAATCCATTAAATAGAATTTCTCACTGAATCTTCCCAATAACCCTGATAAATGATATTCTTCTAAACTGAAGACAAAGAAACTGAGGCCAAGGGAAGGTAAATAACATGCCAGGGGTCACAAAAGCATAAACCTGACCTAGTATGGATGTCTCTAAAGCTCACGCTACTGGCCACTAGAGTGGTGAACTGCCTTCCTAGGCTGGGAGGATGTGGACCCTCTGAGGCCACTTTCAGTCAGGGGAGCAGTTACTCCAGGGCAGGTCTAACCTGGATCTCTTACCTGCCCCACAAGGAACAAGTCGACCTGGGCTGTCAGCCCTTTTGGCCTGTACTGCACAGCGGCTCTGTTCAAATAGTAAATCTGACTGCAGTATTTTTAGTTCTTGAACTCCAAAGCCTTTTGGTAAAGCAGATACATTCTGACACCTAAATGTAGAGGGAAAATGCATTCAGTTTAGGCGCAAGCCTAGAGAAAACAGTATCTAGGATTGTGGCTCACATCATCACCCCGAGCCTCAGCAGGTGTGGGGATTTGTTTATTTATTTGGGCAGACAGTGTTCCAGAATAGAATCAAGATTGCAAGAACCTCATGGCTGGAAGAAGATGCTTCTCCCTCATTCTGAACGGATAACAAAGAATCAAGTCAACACCCTTCAGGGATGTAACATCAAACTCCATTCCTGATACAGGCTTTGAGAAACTTGAAAAGTTTAAGCAGAAACATTACTGTGTTGGCACCTGCTTCCTAGGGAATCCTTCAAACACACCAAAACCCAAAATTATCCTATAATATAAAAGCTTCAGGCCGGGCGCGGTGGCTCACGCCTGTAATCCCAGCACTTTGGGAGGCCGAGGCAGGCGGATCACGAGGTCAGATCGAGACCACCCTGGCTAACATGGTGAAACCCCGTCTCTACCAAAAATACAAAAAACTAGCCGGGCGAGGTGGCGGGCACCTGTAGTCCCAGCTACTCAGGAGGCTGAGCCAGGAGAATGGCATGAACCCGGGAGGCGGAGCTTGCAGTGAGCCGAGATCGTGCCGCTGCACTCCAGCCTGGGCAACAGAGCGAGACTCTGTCTCAAAAAAAATAAATAAATAAAAATAAACATAAAAATAAATAAAAGCTTCATTTTTTTCTCTTGTATCTTTGAACAAACTAGGTGCCAACATGATGCTGGTCTAGAATGAAGCAGAAAGCAACTGCAAGTACCAGAATAGGAAAAACAGAAAACATCCTGGGTACAGTGCCTAGGGCTGCCTTTTTAAAAAAAAATATATAGGGATATAGTTCACATACCATAAAATTTACCCATTTAAAGTGGGTAATTCGATTGTTTTTAGTATATTCATAGAACTGCACAACTATCATGGTAACGTAATTTAAGGAATTTTCATCACCCCAAAAAGAAACCTCGTAGCTATTAGCATTCACTCTCTGTTCTCTGGTAACCACTTAAATTTTTTTTTTCTTTTTGAGATAGGGTGTCTGTTGCTCAGACTGGAGTGCAGTCGCATGATCTTGGCTCACTGCAACTTCTCAGCCGATCCTCCCACCTCCGCCTCCCAAGTTGCTGAGACTACAGGCATGCGCCACCATGTCCGACTAATTTTTAAATTTTTTGTAGAGATGGGGTTTTGCCATATTGCCTAGGCTGGGCTTGAACTCCTGGGCTCAAGCAATCCTCCCACTCCAGCCTCCCAAAGTGCTGGCATTACAGGCGTGAGCCACAGCACCTAGCCCGTGGTAACCACTAAGCTATTATCGGTCTTTATGGATTTGCGTGTTCTAGATATTTCACATAAATAAAATTATACAATATGTGATTTCTTTCACTTAGCATTATGTTTTCAAGTACATCCATGCTGTAGCATGTATCAGTACTTTAGTTCTTTTTATGGCTGAATCACAGTGCATTGTATGGACATACCACATTTGATTTATCCATTCATCCACTAATGGACATTTGTCTATTATGAATAATGCTGCTGTGAACATTTATGTACAGGTTTTTGTTATATACACATATACATTTTTTTTTTTGAGACAGGGTCTCTATTGTCTAGGATGGGTTACAGTGGTGCAATCATGGTCCACTGCAGCCTCAACCTCCCGTGGCTCTGGTGATCCTCCCACATCAGCTCCCCATGCAGATGGGACTACAAGTGTGTGCCACCATGCCCGGCTAAGTTTTGTATTTTTTGTAGAGACAGGGTTTCCTCATGTTGCCCAGGGGGGTTTTGAACTCCTGGACTCAAGCAATCTGCCTGACTTGGCCTCCCAAGATGCTAGGATTATAGGCATGAGCTACTGTACCCGGCCTACTTGTGTGAATGTATGTTTTCATTTCTCTTGGGTGGTACCTAGGAGTGGAATTGCTGGGCCATATCTTGAGGCTTCACGTTTGATAGGGGCCTATGAAGCTTGCCCTGGCCATGGCTTTGCCCTGCCCTCATTTACTAGAGCATTGAGTTTGGCTGCCTCCTTTAGGGAGACCACACTTGAGTGGTCATCCTTTGACTTTTATCTTAAAAAAAGTTAAAACTAATGTTTAGGGCTGGGTGAGGTGGCTCATACTTATAATCCCAACACTTTGGCAAGCTAAGTGGGAGCAGTGCTTAAAGCCAGGAATTCAAGACCAGCCTGGGTAACCCAACAACACCCCGTCTCTACAAAAAAAATTTAAAAATCAGCCAAGTGTGGTGGCTTGTGCCTATAATCTTAGCTGTTCGGAAGGTTGAGGCAGGAGGATCACTTGAGCCCAGGACCTGGAGGCTGTAGTAAACTCTGATTGTACCACTGCACTCCAGCCTGGGTGAGACCCAGTGAAACTTTGTTGCTACAAAAACATTTTGAAAACCCCAAACTAATGTTTAGGGTTAAAAAACATATATAATGGCAACATATGTATGCTGTAGAAAAATTAGAAAATACAGTAAAAACAAAGAAGAAAAAAACCACCCATAATAGTACAACTCAGAGATTATTAATAATACCTTACTGCTCATCCTCTTACAATTTTTCCTATGTGTGTATGTACTTTAAGACCAAAATTGGCTTCTTATCTTCTAAACTGTTCTTTAACCACTATGAACATGTTTCCACATTAAATATTCATCAATATTATTATTATTTTATTTCAGACAGGGTCTGTCACCCAGGCTGGAGTACAATGGAGTGATATGGGTTCACCGCAGCCTAATCTTCCCAGGGTCAGGTGATCCTCCTGCGTCAGCTTCCCTATTAGCTAGGACTACAGGTGTGTGCCACCACATCTGGCTAGTTTTTGTATTTTTTGTAGAGACGGGGTTTCCCCATGTTACCTAGGCTGGTCTAGAACTTCTGGGCTCAAGCAGTCCGCCCCGCTCGACCTCCCAAAGTGCCGGGATTACAGTCATGAGCCGCCATGCCCAGCCATTCATCAATATTATTTTTAACAACAACAAAGAAAACACTTAAACTCCTATTACTGGGCATTTCAGCTGTTTACTTTTTCTTTTTTAAAAAAATTAGTAGCCGGGTGCAGTGGCTCACACCTGTAATCCTAGCACTCTGGGAGGCTGAGGCGGGTGGATCACCTGAGGTCAGGAATTTGAGACCAGTCTGACCTGGTTGGTCATGGAGTGCCTGACCAACATGGTGAAACCCTGTCTCTACTAAAAATACAAAAATTAGCTGGGCGTGGTGGCACACGCCTGTAGTCCCAGCTACTCATGAAGCTGAGGCACGATAATCACTTGAACCTGGGAGGCGGAGGCTGCAGGAGCCGAGAGCACACCACTGCACTCCAGCCTGGGTGACAGAGCAAGACTCCATCTCAAAACCAAACAAACAAAAATTATATACAAAGCTAAATGTTCAAATACTTTATTTCCTTAAGACAAATTCCTGGAAGTGGAACTGTTGGATCAAAAGGTAAGGCGATGCTTAATGCTCTTAGGGCCCTACTCTCAGACTGCCTCTTGGAATGACTTCCAATTGAGCCCTCCCTACCCTCTCACCTTCCAGTCAGTGCTCTCTGCATGGCTTCCTGGCTGTATGGGCACTTCCCAATGACCACAGCTGACAGGTAGATAGGTTCTTCCAGGAAATGCATCAACAGTGCCCCTTGGCATCCGAGGACATTCCATCGGGCCATCTTGTCACTGCAGGACATGGAGCGTGTTCTGTCTCCACGGCCTGGCTTCACTCGGAGCAGCCCCACCTGGTGAAATGCAGCACCAGGCTTCCCAGAGTCTCCAGCTTCTCCAGGTACACATTTGGCTCCAGTTCTATAAACGTCTATCACTTTGGCACTATCAGGGGCTATTCTGGTGACAGCCGCCAGCCCCTCTACAGTGAGATTACAGCTGTTGATGCCTGGTGAGATTGGGCCACTTTCCTGCTTGCCAAAACTCTGATGGTGAGCGGCTCCGTTGGTGACCTCCCTGGCCGCAGTCACAGGCTCAAGCCTCATCTTTTTGGTTACAGGACTGTCAAGGTCTTCACATTTTCTTTCATTTCCAGGAGCTTCCAGGTTACTGCTGGCTTCTACTGATGAGCTGCTGGCCCAATCTCTGATGACAGGACAGCAAGGCTGATCTTCAAACTCAAGCATTGGAATGATGGAGGCATCCCCACCTGCAGAGAATGAACCCCTCCTTAAACAAATGGTTCTCAAGTGAGGTCCCTGGACCAGCCACAGTGGGATCTCTTGGGAATTCATCAGAAATGCAAACTCTTGGGACCCACAGTAGACCTGCTGAATCAGAAACTCTGGAGGCACAGCCCAGCCGTGTGGGTCTAACAAGCTCTCCCGGTGATTCTGATGCAAGCTCAAGTTTGAGAACTGCTGACTTCATCTATTCTCCCAGCTGACCTGAGATGAGTTAAGAGCACAGGCACAAACTTCCCTAATAAGAATTCTCTGAGGCTCTTGTTGAAGACTCTATGCTGGAGCCAGTGAGTTGGAATTTCTGGAGAAGGGTATGCAAAACAGAACACTTTAACCAAGATCTGAGATAATTTTTATCTCTAGGAAGTTTTGGAAACATGGGTTTAGACCAGGGTTCTCAAGCACTGTACTAATGACATTTTTTTGAGATGCAGTCTGGCTCTGTCACCCAGGCTGGAGTGCAGTGGTGTGATCTTGCCTCACTGCAATCTCTGCCTCCTGGGTTCAAGTGATTCTCCTGCCTCAGCCTCCTGAGTAGCTGGGATTACATGCGCACATCACCATGCCTGGCTAAATTTTGTATTTTTAGTAGAGACGAGGTTTCACCATGTTGGCCAGTCTGGTCTTGAACTCCTGATCTCAAGTGATCTGCCTGCCTTGGCCTCCCAAAGTGCTGGGATTACAGGCGTGAGCCAGCGTGCCTCGCCACTAATGACACTTTGGACTGTATCACTTTTTGCTGTGGGGGCTGTCCTACGTATTATAGGATATTTAGCAGCATATCTGGTCTCTACCTACTAGATGCCAATAGCACTACCAGTCCCAGTATGAAAATAAAGAATGTCTCCAGATGTTGCCAAAAGTCTCCTGGGGAGCTAAACTTCCCAAATTGAGAACCACTGGCTTAGAATGAACAAGGTTTCCCAAGTGCATTTTGTGGAATGCTATTCTCTAAGATGCTTTGGAAAACAAAAGTGGGTGGTTTCTTTCATAAAGAAATTTGGCAGGCAGGGCGTGGTGGCTCATGCCTGTAATTCCAGCACTTTGGGAGGCCAAGGTGGGCGGATCACGAGGTGAGGAGTTCGAGACCAGCCTGGCCAATATGGTGAAACCGTCTTTACTAAGAATACAAAAATTAGCTGGGCGTGGTGGCGGGCACCTGTAGTCCCAGCTACTCAGGAGGCTGAGGCAGAAGAATCGCTTGAACCCAGGAGGCGGAGGTTGCAGTGAGCCGAGAATGTGCCACTGCACTCTAGCCTGGGCAACAGAGCGAGACTCCATCTCAAAAAAAGGAAAAGAAATTTGGCAACCATTACTCAAAATTTCCCCATCTTGGAGATTTTATGATGCATGGCCCCACAGTAAAGACTCTAAAGTAAATTACACACCTAGTGTAAACCAGTGTTTCCAAAATTTCCAGTGTTCCCTCTTGCTGGTTTAGAGATTTCCGATCTGCTCTGTCCTTATAGGAAACTGAAGAAAACTAGAGGTCAGTAAGAACCACAGCTCTCCCTTGAGAAGAGAAATATTTCTTCAAACACTAACCTAATGAATGTTGCTTTTCTAAAGCGTATAAATAATACATCTGTAATCTTTATAACTCAAGAGTGGGACAGGCAAGAGATACAGAAGTGGGAATGTATCTGGAGAGGTTGGCTGGCTAACTTCCAGAGACCTCACAAGGTCACAGTGACTTTGGAGAACTCACCAGGGTCCATCTCCCACGCTGCAGGGTTGGAGACTGATCTTGACAGAATGCCTGAATGCAAGAGCCTGACTCATGTTAATAAAACTCATAAGTAAGAGCCTGAAGTAGCTAACCCAGTCAACAAATTATTAATTAGTAATAGGATGTGAATGCCAAGGGAGCGAGAGAGTCACATTCTCTAGGTAATGTTCTTTCTGCAGACAAACCTTGGGAGGACATCACATTTTAAAAGATTACCAGCAAAATTTCCAGAAGATTTTTAAGATGAGCAGAGGGTTGCCAACTTTTTATTCCATCAAGGAGGATCTTTAAAAATCTCAATTACTGGCCAGGCACGGTGGCTCACACCTGTAATCCCAGCACTTTGGGAGGCCAAGGCGGGCGAATTACTTGAGGTCAGGGGCTGTCTCTTATACACATCTAGATGTGTATAAGAGACAGCGCCTGTAATCCCAGCACTTTGGGAGGCCAAGGCGGGCGAATTACTTGAGGTCAGGAGTTCGAGAACAGCCTGGCCAACGTGGTGAAATCCCATCTCTACTAAAAATACAAAAAAATTAGCCGGGCATGGTAGCATACACCTGTAGTCCCAGCTACTCAGGAGGCTGAGGCAGGAGAATCGCTTGAACCCAGGAGGTAGAGGCTGCAATGAGCTGAGATAACATCACTGCACTCTAGCCTAGGTGACAGAGCAAGACCCAGTGTCAAAAAAAAAAAAAAAAAAAAAAAAAAGAGACCACCACTAGTCAAGACCACATTGCTACTCAAAGTGTAGTTTATAGACTAATATAATCTGTATTACCTAGGAGCTTATTAGAAATGTAAA